ATGTTTCAGACTTATGTATTTTAATGGATCTCTGTGTTTAATAATCTTGATTAATTGAACCGGCGCAGGCATAAAAGGCCTGTGTAACAAATAGAGGCACTGCCCGGATGTTAAATTTTCTTAGAAAATTATTGTTGTTTTTCCGAAAGGAAAATTCTGATTAGATAATACATTTTTTGAATTGCTTTTAATTGAGTACTAGGTTCTCTTACTCTCTCTTTGCTTGGAAGAGATTAACAATATTCTATGTATGATATTTGTTTTTTATTGCCACAACTTGTAAAACACTAAGTTGGACATAGCGTGTAATTGAAAGTGGTCTTAATAATTGAAGTGTGACCTAATCAATTTCGTTGCTGTTGTTCAGGTCAAATCAGTAGCAGCCCTACTACAGACAGGCGCTAACAGTAAATAAAGGGGCAGCTTGTCCAGCTCAGTTGTTATCCATTACGAAAAGCTCTCGTTAAAACTATACCCCACCACTATAACACAGGCATCAATGTAAAGCTGGTGGGGTATCAGAACCCCAATTTTGTTTCTCGTTAAAACTTTGAGAGAGCTACTACTATAACACAGGCACCAATGTAAATCTGGTAGGGTCTCACAACCCCAATTTTGTTTCTCTCGTTAAAAACGTGGACAGAGCCTTGAGGCTCTGCGTGAGAGATTATGATATGGGATTGCAGCTGGACTCTTCATCATCTTACGTAATACTAGTGTAAACAAACTCTTACTGGGGCTCGGCCTGAAAGGAAATGAGAAGTAGGAAAAAAATATTTTACTTGTTTTAAGATATTTTCATGTCCAAAAGTCACTAATAATTTAGATGAAAACCAAAATGAAAGTTCGAACGCAGCAAAATGACCCAGAATTGGCGATAAACAACAATTTTAATTGTGAAAATTAGCACTCTTTCTCTCTTCCTCTCTCCCTCTATCATGCTTATCTCTCTATCCCTCTCTATCACCCCGTCAAGGTCTCGGCAGGGGGATTACATTGTTAGCTCTAGGAGTAGTGAAAGGCAAATGGGGGTTTCAATTTTCATCATGCGTGATTTCTCATATTTTGTTATTTCAATATTCTCATCATTTAATTATGTTTGTCTTCTATAAATCCTGATTGGTGTTATAAATGGTACATTTAATCACCTCAATATCTTAAACTATTTTGTTTACCCTGTTTTTGTATAGTTTAGCTTTATAATCTTTTTAAAGATGTCTGACTCTAACCCTAAGTTTAAGGCAGAGCTAGTGAAGTTTCTGGCCGAACAGGTGGCCAAAGAAGAAGAGTCCCATAAGAGTTCAACCATGGTTCCACCATTGTTCCACCATGATTCCACTTCCATTTCCCTCGGGACAAGAGTTGGGACTGCTGTCAGTTGTTCAGGCAACGCTCTCCGCCTGGTAGATGTATTGAGTACTATATTGAATGACGACTCATGTTTATTATTTTTACTTTATATGAACATATATTCTTTTCTTCTATTCCTTGATATTTTTCTCCTTCTCTATCATTTATTGTGTACTTGTACAACACATTGTAAAGCTTTGCATGTAAGCTATTTTGTAAGAATTGTTTGTTTGAAATAGAAAATGCCAGTTGTCACACTGGGAATTTATTATCGGTGTACCTTTGACACTGAATATTAATAAATATCTCTTTGGAATCATTGGCACAAAATATATGTTTCAGACTTATGTATTTTAATGGATCTCCGTGTTTACTAATCTTAATTAATTGAACCGGCGCAGGCATAGAAGGCCTGTGTAACATACAGTATATATTAGAATAATAGTAACATTGCAGTACAGCATACTTGAAAGAATGATAAAGGTGAATTGAAAATGTGGAGGGGAACTGCAATTCTAACAAACTGTTTTCAATGCATACCAAATGAAATATAAAATATTGTCTCAAAAAGGTTGACATGCAATAACTATTTAAAAGTCTCTTCTGTGATTGCCAAAGAAATCAAATATCTCAGCTGTAAGAGTGATTGCTTGCATAGAACTTGATGATGCTTTGGTGAACTCATGTGGGAAGACACAAAACGTCTGCTGTGGCGTAATATGACAAAGTCGTATATTATGATCATTTCTCAGATTTCAAAGGGTTTCATCTCTTTTTGTCCATTGTAAGAAGAAAAATTAAAGACACCCACAAACCCTAAAACCATAATTTGTATAAAGCATTTACAGATGTTTGTAAAAAGCATGGGAAATATGAGATCAAGTTTGAAATATTGATGTTTATTCAGGGACAGTAACATACCAAACTCTCTGGAAACTATTCTGATGTTGTTCTGACATTGCTTGATAAAAGAACGTTCCCATTGCTATTCACCCTTTTGACATCCTGCCATGTATTGCGGTGCGCAACCTCTTCATATATGAAAACACACTGTTGTACATGTGCACAAGACTGTACTATGTGCTAAGATGTACTCAACACTGTTCTTCTATGTGAAGATTCCTGTGAAGGAATTGGGTCCAGGCCCTCGAGGGGAATATGAATTTATGGTCAATTAGATTCAGCTCGTTTGGTAGAGATGACATGTATGAACTCTGATCTCTCAGCTTCCACAATTTGCCTCAAATGACAAAGACATTTTAGTAAGTCTTTCTTTTCTTCACTGTCGCTTTTCTCATTGTTAAATCTAATGAAAATCATTTTGAAAAAAGCTACACCATTATCATAAATGTTGATCAGGGCCCCGTCTGATAAAGAGTTGTGATTGATCCAAATTAATCAGTCCTCCAATCAATCGTTAGTAGTTTGCAGTTTCCTATCTCTTATGTAAGTAGTTATTGATTGATTGATATCAATCGCAACTGACGGGGCCGAGGTATTTGAATTGCTCGACAGTTATCCACCGTGGACACCATTTACGTCTAATGACAAAGATTTTAAAATAATGTTTTGCCTTTATCACTCTACTCGCTGGTTAATCTAGTGACTTTTGGTCTGTCATTATGAAGAAAATTTAAAAATCAGATATTAAAATTACTTTATAAAGTAATCATTAAAAAAAGAATTGTTCTAGACATATGTACATGTATCCAAAAAGCGAGTTAGTTTAAAAACATCAATTGGTTCATAAATCTGAATAGCACCAGGTGTCTTTCTCTCCATTGCATTTCATTTCATGAAAATCTTGTAACTACACAGTGCAATCTTTATTGAGATTTATGACATTTTTATTAAGAATTATGAGATTTATTTGAGGATGTCAGGTATAGATTCAATAGTTATAAAAACAGTCGTATTTCTTCATATTGAAATGCTTTACAAACAAAAAATGTTTTGGTTTCATGATAATTGGGCCCCTCCATTAAATATGCTTCAGGTTGAACTCTCAGGAGAGGTAGGAAATAAGGCCAAGGCCAAACTAGATGTTCTTTTCTTGAGCTCATCAGGGTTTGTAAATACCCTTGCTACCCATCAAACTGTCAATGTGTAATGCACACTCTCACATCCATCCATCCATTCCTTTCAATTAAAGAATGGCTTGGGAATTGTGCAATAATGACAAATGCTTCAATGACAATCGCTCCATGGTCAAATACATAACATAAATCAAAGTCCCTTCATTTTTCCTTCTATTTATTTTGTTACTTTTTAAATTTTATGGTGGTATCATGCGGCATCCCACAGGGAACAGAGTTAGGACCAGTCCTTTTTTTTTTATAATCCTTGTTAATGATGCTGTATGTATCCCAACTTCAACCCTGGATGAAACATACATAGGCACAGTACTTAAATGTCCTCATGTCCAATGGGCCAGCTATGCATTTTGTGTTAATACACTTAATTTAGTCCATGTGGAGGTTTTAATCACGATTTAGACCTTGGGTTAAGGTAGCTTAGAGAAATGGAGTTGCATGAAAAGACGCTTCTGTTTTCGTGCCATTACATTTTGCTAAACTGCCTAAAAGAAATCTCCTTTGTGACTGTTGGCCTATATCTTTCAAGATATAGAGCACAGACCACAGAGGTAATGTTAATCAAGCCTAAGTCTGATCACCGGTAGGGGACGGGTGGGCAGAGGGGCTTTGATTTCAGCTGATGAACATTTGAAAGATGTGTATGCTTCTAGGAATTCTGATTCATAAGGCAACCATCAGCTGGTTTGGATGTTGAGCAAAATGAAACGTCAAAGGTCAACTTCAGTGACCCTTGACCTCTGAACTGATTTCTACCTGCAAGAATTCCTTTGATCTGATATCTTATTACTTAGGACCATAATGATATGGATGAAAAAGTTTTCTTTATTTAACCCTGAAAGCGCAATTGGCAGTTTTTAACACTCCTATTCTAATAAAGTATCAAAAACAGTCAAGAACATTTCTTTTTCTTCTTCTTGAAATTGAAAGTAGGCTCATAAACAGATAATCCAAGCCTATACATGTATGCTGTCCTCTGAAAACATTCAAGCTAATTTTAAACGAAAGGGATAATAAGTTGTTCCAAGAATATTAAACCTGTTGCACTTTAAATAGAAAACCACAGTTTCTCTAAAAGTTTCATTTACAGTTGTGAGATGCCAAACAATTGTGAGGTACAACAAATTCTTACCAGCAGCCCCCCCCCCCTTCCAAAAAAAAAGAACACTTTCCCCCCATAAATTGTTTATCTTTACACAATGGATTTCCAAAGATATTTTGAGCTTATCATTTTATGAGGAAACAGGACCATACTGAATGTGTGAGCAATGTTCTAGTGGATTATGCTGGTAATTTAATTAAACTGTATTATATTTCTTTTCCAAGAATTATTCTGTTTTTTTGTGTGTGTTCTACTTTACTTTTTTTTATAATACAGATGCTCTAATGTGATCTCTTTTTTCTTTCTTCACAAGTGCACTTTGAGCATTTGATTATAAGTGCATTCGGCGCCTTACTAATCTCATATATTGTTATTATTATTATCATTATCAATGTTTTTGTTTGTTCATTTTTTTTTAACCACCACCTTCTTTTGATTTTTGTTATCCTCCTTAGATGAGCTGACTGGAAGTGGAGTGGTCAGCAGACCCACTATCCTCTACATCATTGTTCCCGCGGTAACGGTCATCGTTGTCATCCTCCTCATCTGTGGGTGCGTGTGCTTCTGTTGGAGACAGACCAAGTCTCAGCGCTATGGGGGCGTGGCTAGCAGGACCAGGCCTAGTGAGGTGGTGGCCCTACAACAGAAACTACAGGTCAGTTCAGGCAATATGTTTGAGACTGTTGATGTTAACTGCCTGTATCCCTATATGAATTATGAAATTACATGTACTAGACTGGCACAGTACATAGCATACATTAAACTCAAAAAGATATTGAAATACTGGCTTTACGCTGGAATATGCATCTTTGAATGTTTTAACACTTGCCATGCTACTCAAATGAATACATACATGTCACCCTAATGCCGGAAAGATGTTCAGACACTAGTTCAAATATATTTTTGGATGAATCTGTATGGGCCTCGTTTTTAGTTTAATCATTGATTTTTCCAAATCAGATGAAATTCTATGTTTAGATACATGTATATTCATTTGAGTGGCTTTAACTTGGATAGAGACAGTGCAGTTAGATAAGTTCTTGCATGTCTGTTTGTCCTCTCCTTTTCTTATATATATTACATTGTTTTGTCTCATTTCTGTCTGTCATCAGGTAAAGGAGATTCCATTGGCAGCCATCAAGTTCAGTGAGGCCCTTGGGGATGGCACGTTTGGCAAGGTATGGCGAGGAGAGCTGATGGGTCTAAACAACCAGTACAGCTGTACATCCATCGTCATCAAGACATTGGACAAGGAAGCGAGCCCCGCCCTTCAGCAGGACTATCGTAACGAGACCAGTGTGATGGCGTCCCTCAACCATCCCAACATCATCACTCTCTTAGGGGTCTGCACCAAGGAGAAGCCCAACTGTATGCTGTTTGAGTTCCTACCTCATGGTGATCTGCATGAATTCCTAGTCAGGCACTCTCCTAATTCAGACGTTGGCTTCGGGAGCGGAGACGACGACACCCAGTCCTCCTTGGATGCCTCAGATTTCTTGAACATCGCCATCCAGATCGTATCTGGCATGGATTATCTCTCTAGCAGGCATTTTGTCCATAGGGACCTTGCTGCTAGGAACTGCATGGTTGGCGAGCACCATCAGATTAAGATCACTGATTTTGGTCTGGCAAGGGATATTTATTCAGGGGATTACTATAGGATGCCCTCGCAGGCCGTTCTGCCAATCCGCTGGATGTCTCCGGAAGCTATCATGTTCGGTCGCTTCACGGTGGAGAGCGATATCTGGTCCTTTGGTGTGGTGTTATGGGAGATTTACTCGTACGGCTTGCAACCGTTCTATGGTTATAACAATAATGAGGTGATAGAGATGATCCGAACCCGTCACATCCTGCCCAGCCCTAGCGGTTGCCCTCAGTACATCTATGCACTCATGACAGAATGCTGGAGTGAAATACCTGCTAGGAGACCTCCTTTCAAGGTCATCTCCACACGCCTCCGAGCATTAGACACTGTACCTATGCACACGCAAAACGGTAACATATACGGCAACCCCGCCGCGAACTTTAACCCCCAGTACAGCGGGCTGTACTCTCCGCAAACGCACTGCAGCTCCGAGGGCAAGAAAAGTCACGGGTCGTCGGGGGGCAGCAGACACTCTCAACCCAAAATGGGTCTCGCTGACAAAGCCATGTCGGAGACCTCTAGCTCATCACATCATACAAGATCAACAGGACATGGTAAATCAGAAAAGGTGGAACAAACCGCTGTATAATAACCACTTATGTTGTCTCTTTATTATATATGCACTTGTATAAAGTTGTACTGGAATACACAGTAATTGTAACTCTCTCGTAATGCTTTGGTCTAGAATTGTCTCTATATTGCAATGTGTGAAGGCTAGAAAATAAGTTCTGCAAGTAGTTTTTCTAACGACAAAGAAATTAAAAAATTGTATATTTGTGTGAATGCACTAGCATACTTGTAGGTAAATAGAGCTGATATTTGCTTCCTTGTGGCTTCATGATGTACTTAAGCAAAGGCAAAACCAAAGAATATTATCCTATGCTTATATTAAACTTTGCAACTCCGTCCTTCATTTTGTACTTGTTTTCAACCGAGTATTCCCCCTCAGTATGCTATATCATGTAGATACAAGTCAGGTATTCAAACTATGCACTGTATTGAAAGGATTCAGTTATACTTCATAATTTTACAATTTATTTATTGAATTTGATCATTTGCTTGTGATCAACATAGATCCTTTTCAAGTGAGCATTGATAACGATTCAAACCCCCTAAGAAGTATTCGCGATGTAATGTCTGGTCATAGATTATCATTTTTTTGTGGATAACTATTCAGAAAAATCAATTGATATATACACCACGTATTTCTGACCACTCAAAAAACTTGAAAAGTAAAGCATATAATTATCATTGAATAATCTTGGTTTATACATCTATCTAGAACTGAATTTCTTAAATGCTCTAACAAGGGAATGTCCCTTTTCCCTATAAAGTTTGTAGGTCTAACAGTTTGTAAAAAAATATTTTGCAATTGAAAATTTGTACATGCATATTTAAACCAAAATCCTATAAAAATCATGTTTATAATCCACTGTAACATTGCTACAGAGAAATTCCAGTTAGTTATAATGTAAGGGAGTGATCTGATAGAGAGAGCAGGAAATCTAAGCTGCCGAATTCCTTCTAAAAGCACACCAGAAAATATATTCATAGATGTAGACTAGATTATTGGTGTGGATGTACTAACAATCAACTTCTTAAAACCCTCAAAGCTTTTCTAACTTTGTCGGTTTCCAGGTGTGATTCACATTTGCCAAAAAATGAACTCAGTTTTTCTCATCAGTTTTCTTCAACCAAGAAAAGTATGAATAAATCTTGTTTGATTTGATTTGCCAAATTGTATATAGAGCTTTTAAAACTAATGTGGTAGTTATTCTCACATTTTATTTTTAATTTGATTTTTCATTATAATACAGAATATAAATGACTGTAATTTCATTTATGATTGTTTAATTTTTTAACAGAGTAGAAACAGAGTTGTCAATGGACTTTTATGACGCCTACATGGAGTATTAATAAGAAGGTTTAATTTTCTTTTTCGCAAAATTAGGTTTACAAAGCAACATTTCTAAACAGTACAGGCCATTCTCTCTATATGAGATCATTCAGGCTTCACTATCATCAAGAATGTTTTTTTTAAATTCATTAAAATGTTTGATTACGTATTCATAGCAAGAATCTTGATGGACTAAAACTGATTTGTCGGCCAGAAGAGTTTCCTATTTTTTTAAAAGGTGCAAAATTCCTGATTTTACGGATTGACTCATGGTGCCCCGCAATGTGTTTATTTTGCCAAAAATGTTATATCTTTATATTTGTAGATTTGCTACTTTAGTTAGCTGTATGCCAAGGTTTATTAGAATCATGAACTCAGTAAAGTGACTGGAAAATTTGCCAAATATGCTTTTTATATAAACTCATCCTTTTCCTGTGAAGAAAATGTTTAGGTTAATGCTCTGTTTAGGTTGTTACAGGGTCAACTCTAAAAATAGTCACACACAGATTATAGGGATGCCAACCTGACCTCATTCTAAAAAAAAAACATTCATTTTATTTATCTAAACCTCATGCAAAGCTAGTAGTCTATTCATTTATTAGAATAATGATATTTGGAAAGCTTTTATTTCAAAAAGTTTAATGTACAACATCTATACACCTGTATGCTATTGTTTCAAAGAGTTATAAGAGCTTACAGATAACCAACAACAGCTCATCCATTTAAAGCTCCACTGCACTACTTATAGCTACTTGCGCCCTCTATACAGCCAACAATGCCTAGGCGGTGCCTGTTGGTCCCCATGATCCTCTTTTTCTTATATTTATTGAGAGCTGATTTAATGAAATAACTATCTATCAGTGACCTTGCAGGGAGGTCTAATCCCCTGGCCAAACTAGTAGAGACTGGCTTTAAAGGGAATGCAAGCAAGCTACTCTAGTAGAAAGTAGAACCATTAGAGAAGCATACTGATGAAATTGAATGAAATAGGACAACAGATGAGAATTCAAATTGGCTGAATCAGTAATTTCTCTGTGGCGTAGTGGCAGACAACTTTCCCATTTGTTCCAGCACACTAAATGACTACAATTTCAGCAATATCAAAGTAAAAGGTTACAGAATGTGATACACTGATTTGCATTATCAGGGATTTGTACATCGTTAGTGATTAGTAATTATTATTCTTTGTTCTCAGACCTTAATTATGTATCCCAATACTTCTCTTTCAGACAGTGTGTTGAGTTAAGAAAAACATTCATTAATAGTATTTATGTAATTATAATACTTCCAAACTTTTCCCTTCAGAGAAGTCATCAAACAGTTTTTGTTTTAAATCAAAATATAAGATTGATGAAAATCTCACATCACACCCCTCCTGCCAAGGCATTATCAAATTAAATCTGAGCAAGATGCTGTCATACTATTTCTTTGGTGAAAAAACTAAATATATATTTATATCTTATGTTGTAACTGTATGTGATATTTAAATATTGACTGTATTTAAGCTGAAATTATACCTCAAGGCTGTGCATTTATTTGTCATTTTTTTGTGTATCTGTCCTATTTTCTTGTTTTTTTTTAGTGCCTCAGCTACTAGTGGTGGTACTGGAGCCACTTGTTATTAATATGTATTGGTATTTATTTACACATGGTTCATTCTTTTCATAGACTGCTTTGTTCTTTTACTATGGATGGCTTTAGTGCAGGTTACATACGTACTATTATTGTTTTTATATGTTTTAACCAGTGCTACCAAGTTTACCAAATTTGTATATCTCTTTTTTTTTTAATGGTTTGTATAATCATTTCTGTCATCATTCAATTTGATACAAATGGTTCTCCATGATGTAAAAGCTTTTCTTAGTCCCAATGTTAGATCAATATAAAAATCTGGGCTGTTTAAACCATGTATTGCATTGAAAGAGTTAAATGATTCGTTCCCTCAAAACAATGATGGAACATAAAGGTCACTTAGTATCCATTGACACATATTTTAACAGAGAATGTTTGATGTTATTCACTTGAAGCTGGAGCTGAAATGTGTCACATGGATGTATTTATTATGTTTGCATTAAGAAATATATTTTCAATTAAATCATGCATTTATGGCAATTATATACTACCTGGATTGGTATAAATACATGGTATTCAATGTTACCTTTTTCATAAAATAAAGAATGAAATTTGGCTATGGACCTTGCAACAGACAAGCCCTGAGCTAACCATTTTGAATAAACGTCTATTTGAATTCACCTCTGGCTCCTTCATGATTCAGGTGAAATGGTGCAAGTAGAGTTATACAAGAAATGAAATATAATGAATTATTACCCGTATCAGACATCTGAGCTAGTCATTTACAAAACCGTATTGCCCTAGTTTTCACTAGCAGTGGGAACGGAGGGGTATATTCTTTGTATTTTCCTTGGTCTCCCTGCGCGTATTGACTTTGCGTGTAGAGACGAGTGAAAATATACCTTGGTATTTTCCACGGTCTCGCATCCAGACATCTCTTATTGACCGCGCCGTATTGTTTCATTTTCATTGCGCATCTATTATGCGTACGAGAACCTACGCACTTTGCGCGCACTCTATTGTGACGTAATAATCACACCAAATGCACACTGTTTGCAGTGTATCCAAAATTTTGTCAAGCACTGGATGCACAGTGCTGGTTTGACAAAGTTTGTTCAGTTCTTGAGATTGTCATGGTGGATTTCTGTATTTGCTCTAGATGTCTGATTTGGATAACAATAAAAATATTGACTGGTTTTACTTTTGGGGGATATCAGAAATATTGACCGCGCTAAGACCATATTGCCCTCGTCTTTCGACTCGGGGCAATATGATCTGAGCTTGGTCAATATATCTGATATACCCCTCAAGGCCAGTCAATATTATATAAATATATCTGTGAAAAAAATATTCAAACATGGTATGAAATTTATTGATGCCTGTCTGTATCTTTTGGGGCTTGTAGATATCACTAACATGCATGGAAGGAGAGATGGGCAATCCATTATGTGTCTAGGAATTATCATGAACAATAACACGATATTTGAGTAAATGAGTTGCCTTTTATATAATGCTAGCTACAGATGTATGTATGCTGTGAATAGGTAAATATCTTTGTCAAAATCTGGTACACTGTGTAAATGTTTTTTATTACTATTTATGAACTCATGTATATAGTTTTGTATATTTTATTTCAAAGGTGTCATGTTTAAATGTCAAATACAAATCACTTTCATTATGTAGAAAAATGCTAATTTTATGTACTTGCTTTATATTGTCATCAAAGTGCTTGAGCTAAATATGAAAAATATTATTCTATGAACGGCATGGAAAACGTCTTTATTCTGAAATGTCCCTTGATTTTGAAAGCAAATGTCCATTTATACCTCATGTAAATGAGCTTTCATTTTTAATGTAGACTATTTTCCTTCTAATGCATATGTATTATATATGCATATTTTAGGAAGATAATTTTTTAGCTAGCCTAACATGACATTAACTAAAGGACTAGCAATGTTACTGGTTATACTTATGTGAAACATCATTCGTAATGATGACAGTTATTATGAGTTTATTTTATTGATAATGCCGAATCTAATTGAATGAGACAACATATTTCTCTTGACGCAATTAAAAAAAGTGTCTAACCTAGGTGCATGCTGTAGCTACTAATGAGTTACCGGTGAAAATTGAGATTTCACACAAATATTCTAGGATTTCTAGGATTTCGTAAAATTTGAAGAGGTGACATTAAAAAAAAGTCTTTCTTTACCTTCCACTGATTTATATAAAGTAAACTATGAAACTACAGACTCTTCAACAATTCTCTTGCTGATTAAATCGTTGCCGCATTGTCGAATTCTTTGAGGAGCTCTGATTTTAATTCAATTACCGTAGTCGATCATTCTTATGAGAATTTTATTCACCCTAAGCGAGTTGAATTTGAGTCATAAAGTGGAGACAAGTGAGCTTCCCATCTCAACTTTTTGGACAACCTCATACCAAATATCATTCCTACTATGGATAGGGTATCAGAGATTGCATAACATCCCCCCCCCCCCCCAGGAATCAGTCTTTTATCAGGAAACCTGATTTTCAGTACCGACCTGTAGTAAGAGATGCACAAATCAAATAACTGGTGAAAACAGGGTGTTTATGGTCATTCTTATGCACATTATCAGTTTTAGCATCCAGTGTAATTGAATGGAATTAGATTTTAGAAGTTATGTTTAGTCACATATAAACATAGCATGCTTTTCTGAGTGCATTGACACCCTCTGGATCAGGACTTGAATGATATTACATGATATTCATTGGATAGAATTCATTAATAGTGGCAATTACATGCATTAAATGAAAGAAATTGCTCAAAATGTCATGTAGAGTGTAGAGAAAACAAAATGGCTTGATCGGACGAATCTCTATGAGCTGTCTGGTGTAACTGCCCATACAACCATGCCCTTATTTATGGGTCTATTTACTTGTATTGCTTGTAAGTCTATCCTTGTAACTTTCTTTTCTGAACTTGATGCGTATGGAAGTGTGCATATCAGTATTGAGAAGAGGAATTAAAGACGCAAAGGAATATTTTCAAATGTAAAATAATCTGAATTGTTGTGCTTTCTTGTATTTGGTGGGAATGGATGTGTAGTATGAGAACTGTGTTACCATGGCCATATATGACTGGCGAAAATTCAGATAATGTGGTGGTGGTGGTGATGATGATTATGATGATGTTGATGAGTAAGATGATGATGATGATGATGGAGGTGGTGGCGGGCGAGTTGAGGATTATGATGATAGTGGTGGTGGTGGTGGTGATGGTGATGATGACGATGGAGGTGGTGGCGGGGATGATGAGGATTATGGTCATGGTGGTGGTGGTGGTGGTGGTGATGATTAAGATGACAATGCTGATGGAGGTGGTGGCAGGGGTGATGAGGATTATGATGATGGTGGTGGTGGTCGTGGTGGTGATGGTGGTGGTGATGATGATGGAGGTGGTGGCGGGGGTGAAGAGGATTATTATGATGATGGTGGTGGTGGTGGTGATGATGATTAAGATGACGATGACGATGGAGGTGGTGGCGGGGTGATGAGGATTATGATGGTGGTGGTGGTGGTGGTGATGGTGATGGTGATGATGATGGAGGTGGTGGTGGCGGGGTGATGAGGATTATGATGATGGTGGCGGGTTGATGAGGATTATGATGGTGGTGGCGGTGGTGGTGGTGATGATGATGATGATGATGATGATGGAGGTGGTGGCGGGGGTGAAGAGGATTATGATGAAAGTGGTGGTGGTGGTGGTGGTGATGATGATTATGGCGGAAGTGTTGGTGGTGATGATGATACTTATGATGATGGTGGTGGGGGTGATGAAGATGATGATGATGAAAGTGGTGGTGGTGTTGAGGATGATGATTAAGATGATGGTATTGCTAATTGTGAAGATGATTTTGTTAATGCTGGTGATAACTTAAATTGGTGATGACGATGATGGTGATGATGATGATGACTAGTAACTGTGGTGATTATGAAAATGCAAGCAATAATTAAAATGATAGTGGGTTACATTCCTGTCCTGTTTTATCCATTTCTATGTCTATCTTCTTCTTTTTTCTTGTACTTGCCTATATAGGTATCTCCATGCTCTTCTCCTTTTTGTCTTTCCTTATATATCGTTTTCCATCTATCCTATGTATTTTCCTACTTTGTTGTTGTTGACATCTCCTTGGTCTATCTGTCCTTATGCATTTCTTTGTTTTATCATTCTTACGAGATGTCGGTCTACTAGGAGTCTGGGATGCCCCACTTACTAATATATTCATCTTCTTGCATGTTTCTTCCACGTGCCATTCCGTCCACCTGTTATGTCCTCTTACGTCACATCCCACCTCTCATTCGAGAAAAGATGTTTTTCTTAAATGCTAATAAAGCAACGCCACTATTTCATGCAATTCAATGTATTCAAATGAGAGTGTGTTTCTACCCATTGCGTCGGCAGATAAATTATTCCATTCACCTGCTATTCATTTTTATTGCATTTCAACAGCCAGAAGGCAGGGTGTTTACAAACAGTGTTGCTATGCAGACAAAGTAGCATAGGATTATGATGTGAGACAGCCAGGGGCTGCATCTCTGCCCCCCAACAGTTTTCGAATTATAACAATCATCACCATCATCATCATCATCATCATTATTACCACCATCACCATAAAGGGTGGACTGGGACTGAAATTCAGTTGGGAAATGTAGATGTGAGCAGCCCAATCGACCGTTGCGATACAAATCGACCGTGCCCACACCACAAATAGATAGGATCTAAAGCCAAAATATTGAGCCGCCCTTTGCGAACCCCCTGCCCCCCCCCCCAAAAAAAAAAAAAAAAAAAAAAAAAATAAATAATAATAATAATAATAATAATTAAAAAATCCCAAGAGCCAGTCCGCACCCGGACCAAGACAACGCCACCACCACCAACCTCATTATAATCATCATCACCATCATCAGCCATCAGAACTAACGCTACTGCCAACACCATCATCACCACCATCGTCACGATAGATACGTGTAATCGTTCACAACTCAAAAGTTCGTATTAGACGAAATGTTTAATTGACGGATGTCAAATTATTTGGAGTAAACCTTATGCTATTTCAAAATAATGCATTTGATAAATCAAGGCCCCATAAGTCGTAAGTATTAGTAACTAGATCACAACATAATACCATGTGTGATTTTCGAGAACCTTTTGCTATCAACTGAACTGTCAATAATAATTCGTGACTTGTTTACGAAAGTTGCTCGGGAACAGACCGGTTAACTAAAATATTTAGATTCATTGCATACTTTTTAAACAAAGGGTCGTTCTTGAAAACCTGAATGCTTGCTCGAGATTTGCCCGACATAGCAACAAATATTATATGCTGAATGGATTCCAAGTATTGTAGTTCATTCAGTAATGACAGGTTAATAGAATACCTCACTAGGTCCCCAGGAAATAAACATCCATAAATTGGAATATGTTGGTAAACGCGCCTAGACCTACTTCAGCTGCGATACATGTTTTAAAGTTGAAATGTTTTATTCAGTTCAGGGCATTAATAACATAATATTATTTGAAGAATTGACATCAAAATTATTTCCAATACATTTGATTTCTTTCAATCTGCAAAGATCATGCCGACACGACTCACACGAGTAATATTTTGAGTTCTTAACGATCAAAAGTGTAAAGTATTGTTTTTCTCTCCCACCTGGCTCTCTCTCTCTCCTTCTCCTTCTCTCTCTCGCTCTCTCTGTTTCTCTCTCTCTCTCCCTCTTTCTCTTCTTCTTCTTAAAAAAAATACCTATCAACTTCCTTTTTCTTTTCAAGCACAGGTGTTCAAGGCTTTGACATTCTTACATTCAGTAAAATGGGCAGACACAATACTTTGCAGAGGTTTTGACTGAACCAAATGATGAATTCATCACCATCACAATGGTAATTTGAATAAAGCATGCCAGAATCCGTCCCTATGAAAAGCCTCAGACGTTGAGACATCCTGATTAGATGTTGATTCGGATACCAAATGATGATCACCCTCCAAAGGGTGTGTACTTATTACAGCGACTATTCCCTTTGACACACCTACAATAGTGTTAGCACAATTGTTTTAGTGATCTGCCATGGTCAAAATCGGGACAAAGTATTAATGCGATCAGATCGATTTCCAAGAAAAAATGGCTTACAAGTTCTATCATCGCTTCTCAGCGGCTGATTTTCAGCGCTACCGGGAATTCTTTCCGAAATTCGAACACGAATCTTCGAGGGATGGTTTCGCCGGGTCGAGAAACACAGCCCAATCGGAAGCCGCTGCTATGCAAGGCAAGACAGCAGACGACAAAACACGTGATAAATTCACGACGTGAGTTGAATTGATCGACTTTATAAAACTTGACAATCAACAAATTGACAACATGAAATTAAAAAAAATATATATTGTTGTGTGTACAGACAAAGTTAAAATTCCACATCAAATAATAGAAGATACCGACCATTTGGTGTTTTTTGAAAGTTTCAATATATAAGTGAATATTTTAATTATATATAGTCTCTTAGCCAAATTAAATTTTTATCAAAAAGTACTTCGATGATGATGATGAAGATGACGACGATGTTGATGATTATTATAGCTCTATATTATACGAACCGTGCAGTTTGCTTTTGGCGTCAACAGCGCATGTAGACAAAATTGAAAGCAATCCGCTAAATAAGCCACTCGGTGGCGCGATTATCATATTATTTGATGTCCTTTTGATATAACTCATAGTGTAGAGAAGGTACACATTTTGAAAATGTTATTTCCATAGGAAGATTGATAATTCAACATCCCAGTGGCACATGAGTCTATATGAATATTTCCTTTGACATGACATAAAAGCTTAATCCCTTTGCGAATGTGTTCTTACACAGACGAAATAAATTCTGGGGACAGAGATGTAACAACATAAATGCCCTCCCAATCCCGCCAAATTCTTATGACGACGACGATGATGACACTCAAACTCCTCTGATACCATCGACGACTTTGTCCGCCGTTTCAACCACGTCCTCGACTACCTCATCGTCCTCGTCATCGGATTCATCGCCGTCGGAGAGCTCGAGAGCGAGACGGAGGAAGACCAGCCGACCGAGGAGAAGTCCAAAGAGAAATGATCCCAAATTTAAAGGAGTTACATTCTCCATGGAGACTGCCATTTCACATGGAAAACAGGAAGCAAGGCTCACGATCAAGTCACAACTTAGGTTTGCTCTTAATCAATTTCTATGCGTATCCTTACTAAATTATTTTTTATTTATTTCTCTCATTTATGATGATTGAAGACGGTGTTTGTTTTGTTATTATTTTGTATTTCTTTTTATTACAGCCAAGTGGTTCATTGAAACACATATACAGATTTTTTTAAAAATTCTTTACGCAATAGGCTTAGGCTTATGCAAAAATAATCGGCAATAGGTATTTTTAGTTAGCTTTTTAAAGGTACTAAGGTGTTAAAAGGGGGAGAAAATAATACTCCTTTTAACGCTGAATATTGAAAAATGTTATGCTAATATCATACTGAAGTTTGAGCCTTTTAGAAATGGAGGATGTCAAATTTGTTTGAAAAAAATTACGAAAATCAAATTATACTGATTTTATTTTTAGAGTGTACACCTTTTTTTTTTTTACAAACAAACGCCACAATAGTGTGTATTAGAAAATAATTCGGAACAAAAAAATACCGTTGTGCATCCCAGCTGAAATTCCAGACTAGAGTCATGAAACATTCATGAGGGTGGATATCAAAAGGCTTTCGGAAATGACAAGCACCGATACACAATGATATTGTATTCTGAATAAATTTCGCCTTGATTTGTTGAAAGTTGCTAAGGCAAACGAGCATAGTCCAAATAGATTTTACATCTGATAAAAAAATTAACTATTGAGTCATTGACGATCACATGCGTCAAATTTTAAACATATAGTAGGCCTACATAAGAGAACAATTAATAGACCGGTTTACTAGCATAACAAAGTTTGTTGTTGATAACCTGAAAGCTTACCCCAGGCTTGCCAGACATAGCAACAATTAATGTATGTATTAATGGAAGCCCTCGTCACTAGGTCCCCAGGAAGGAAACATCCATAAATTTGAATACAATGTATGTTAGTAAACCGCTCTATTGAAATCGGGGTTATCTGTCTCGCTGGAAATATAATATTTTTCCCCTAAACATCATGATCCTCTCGTCAATGTTATCTTTTTTTTAATGTGATAACCACATGGTCTCGTTAGTCCCCTGGTACATATGTTTTCGTGTATTAAAGAGACAATTATGTGGACTTTTTTGTTGTTTCTTCAGCATTCGTCGCTATCGTCGTATGTTGACAAAGCGCTCCATGACAGGATGGCGAAGGGTACTTCATCGGGGATTCTATTTCCATGGCAACTCACAAACTGGAGGCCGCACCCTGTCCGACTCGAGCTCATCTGAAACTGATAGTGATACCGGACTTGGAAGGATGAGATCGAAAGCCTTCAAATCGGCATCGAACAAGAAGAGAGTGTTGCCACTTCTTTTTGTTACGTCATTGAGTCAGCCACTCAACACTACGGGACGTCATTCTGGTAGATTGCCGCCACATACGATACCGGACCCGTTAAAGGCTCATGGTATGTGAGAAATAAAATCAAACTTATTGACGATAATCATTAAAGGTAGGCGTTACTACTGCAGCTATAAGGGATTAGACCACACAGCGAGCCAACGAGGTCACTGTGACAGGTGGCTATCTCATTAACTCAGCTCTCATTTAACATAAGAAAAAGAGGATCATGGGGGACCAACAGGCACCAATTTGGGAAGTTTTCTATATAGAGGGAGCAAGTAGCTACAAGTAGGACAGTGTGCCTTTAAAACAAAAGCAAACACAAAAAACACAATAATATATTTTTGTGTATGCCTACATGTTAGATGTATGAGTAGCAAGCCGATACCCCATTTCCATTTATAAACTAAAACCCCTTTTTTTGCGATTTAGGCCTAGATTAGCTTTCATTTTTAATTCCATGTATCTCGCTATGTCGGGATAAGCTTAGTGGCTAGAATTAATCCGTTTCAACAAGATGTATCGAATATGTCGAAACGATAATTTACCCGTTTCAACAAGATGTATTGAATATGTCGAAACGATAATTTGAATTATTGGTCTTTCAGGAAAAACTTGCGAGTCTTGTAAGACAACACGTACTCCATTATGGAGAGATGCTGAAGACGGGACACCACTCTGTAATGCATGTGGGATTAGGTAAGTTATTTTGACCTTTTCAAGAAAATGGCCTCATTTGAATCTGTCCAAAATGGCTTTGGCCGCAATTTTAGGGACTTTTAGATTTGCATGGACTGATACGTGTGACGTCCATTCAAGGCAGTGCATTAAAAGGACGTCGATCGTAGCAATCCACGTTGTCGTTGTGCAAATCTAAAAGTCCCTATTATACTTGGTCACGTGCCCCGTGCAACCCCACCCCGTACCCCCGTGCAACCCCACCCCGTACCCCCGTGCAACTCCACCCCGTACCCCCGTGCAACCCCACCCCGTACCCCCGTGCAACTCCACCCCGTACCCCCCGTGCATGCAACCCCACCCCGTACCCCCGTGCAACTCCACCCCGTACCCCCGTGCAACTCCACCCCGTACCCCCGTGCAACCCCACCCCGTACCCCCGTGCAACTCCACCCCGTACCCCCGTGCAACTCCACCCCGTACCCCCGTGCAACCCCACCCCGTACCACCGTGCAACTCCACCCCGTACCCCCGTGCAACTCCACCCCGTACCCCCGTGCAACTCCACCCCGTACCCCCGTGCAACCCCACCCCGTACCCCCGTGCAACCCCACCCTGTACCAACGGTTGCGACTTGTTCTGACAAAATTACGTTTACATGCATTGATAAGTCAAGTACTGACAATTTTAAAAGGTATCAAATTATTTTCTTGAAATGTTAATATGAGGAAATTCGATAAGCATGATAAAACTTAAAGCGGATTTGACCTCTCTTAACTTTACCACTAGCAAATTACAGTTTGACATGAGTTTTAATTGTTTAGGCAGCGCTCAACGAAGTCATGGTAACACAAAGAAGTTTGCCTTAAAGCCTATCTGCACTAGTTTGGCTAGGAGGGATTAGACCTCCCTGCATGGTCACTGACAGGTGGTCATCTCATCAAATCAGCTCTTAATTAACATAAGAAAAAGGGGACCATGGGGGACCAACGGTCGCCACTTAGGCATTGTTGGCTATATAGAGGAAGCAAGTAGCTATAAGTAGTGCAGAAGGGCTTACATGTCGTTGACGTTCTTGTTGTTTTTGTTTCTAGATACAAGAAGTACCGGATTCGTTGTCCATGCTGTTGGCTGATCCCACGCAAAGACAGCAAGACATTCCCTTACTGCGGGCGATGCGGCGTACTTCTAAAAATGATGCTCCAGCGAAGGTGTCAGTATCTTTGACGGTTGTCTTTCAATAAGTGCAATTAAAGGTTCAGTACTGTTTGGTTGTTATAATGGTTGCCAACTTGTCATGAGTAAAGGCAATATAGAAATATTTGAAACTCAATATCAATTACGAATGATTGTAGAATAGGCCTACATAATATGGCGGTCGAAGCACTGAGCAATAACAGATATATTCGAATACGTTTCTGATCGGTATTGGGTGTAAGTAATGATGAAATCAAATAATTACTCAGCGTCATACTTTTGAATTCCAACTGCCATTTATTGGTTGACAATCTACCGCCTCAGATTTCACGTGGAATGACAATATTAAGAATGATTATCGTAATAACTTTCTGAAATACATACATAATTCTGCTTTGTTTTAAGTTGTTTTAATCTTCCTTGTTTTATTTGTGTGTTTTTTTTGGGTGAAAGTAATATAAAAGTTTCTTTTTATCTCTTTGACCAAAATGCTTAATTTTTTTGTGAAGACGATAAAGCGTGGCTTTCCAATGCAAAATGATTTTGAATGTTTCGAACGCGATTTCTTAGAGGATCTTTTCGTACGCTAACTTTTAATTGCACTAAGGTTAAAGCCCATGTTCAGTTTTGGTTAGCCTTCCCCTAAAAAGGTTTTCTACTACAAAAGAGTAATGACTTAATGAGAGGTGACAATTTGTTAAATTTTCCCGAGTCATGATCTGTATCATCGTACTATGTTATTTGTTTTGTTACTCTTTCTATTTTTACACAGCGAAATTCAAGAAAACAACTGGTTAGGTGTCTCTCTTTTCAAAAGAGAGATCGCCCCCTCTTTCTTTATTATTGTAACTCTTGCCATTACTATACTTGGTTTATTTTGTTTGGATTCTAGAGTGAATCGACAGTTTCTGAAACTGAATTAGTGAGTTTGTTGGAAATAGTGAAATATTACATTAGATTGAATTTAAGTTAGACTTACGTATGAATGTGAATTCAAATGTAGGTGGTGATATCGATTATTCATTTCGATATAATTAGTGATAAAAACTTCATATTTTACACGACGTATTTTTTAATATTTTATGCCTAACTATACTTTTGACTCTTGAGCAACGATTAATTTTAATGTGTTAGTATTAAAATCCGAACTGATATTATTAACCGTAGAACAAATGCAATTTTGAAGTAGGCCTATGCATAGACTCCTTATTATTTCTTGTGTTGACAATTCGTATTCAAAATTGTTGTCGGTGGAATGATTTTCTTAACCTTAGTCTGCAAATGAATAAGATTGTGGATTCTACAATCCGTACACTTTTTCAAAACATGGTCGATCGACGTCCCTTGCGAATACAATGTAGATGTCAACATATTATAAGGCCCATTTGCAAAAATATTACATGGATTACTAAATAAAATGTTAATCAGATGTTGTTATCAGAGGATTTAAATGTCTCGGTATCGGTGTTTTTACTTAGCAATGATGGTATATAATTATGTATGTAAGATGTTGGTAATGATGGTGGTGACGATGATGATGATGATGATGATGATGATGATGATGATGATGGCAATGTACACATTTTACTTTTGTATTCATTAATCTATTGGTATAATGTTTGAGCAACAGAACGGGCTGAAACGACCTCTTTTGAAGGCAAAAGCAACACAATTATTTACCAAACTAGTTTAATTAACTTTTTAAAACACTATCATTACAAAGTTATACCTACGTATGAGAATTATAGTACGAATGTCATAATATATACAAGGTATTACATATTGTCACATGTTATTGCATGATACATACACCAATTTTTTACAATAGAATAGTGCATTGCATGGTTTCAATAAAATAAAACCTTTAAGAGAGGGGGTCAGTGGAGAAACGAAGAGGGAAGGAAGGGAGGGAGAGACAAAAGTAAAGAGGAAGACAACAAAAAGAGAGAAGGGGAGAGAGAGAGAGAGAGAGAGAGGCGGGGTAGGCGGGGGGATAAATGGGGGGTATTCGGTATTTTCCAGATTCCAGGGGGTAGGTGGGGACATGCAGACCAAAAGCTTTCCATTTTCTGTTCCTCCCTTTACCATACCTACATTAGCACAAAATCGACCCATCCTCGTTCATAAACCTCATTTCTAATGCTTGCGAGCGAGAAGAAATTGGATATTTGATTGTACAGAGCGTCCCAGAAAAAACGAAACCGAGAATTATCGATGTTTTATCAATTATAATTGATAAACGACACATAATTATTTGGAAAATAGAAAGAGTCACGACGCCTTGTCAAAAGGCTACATTCGCGAGGGAGTTTCCAAACCGTCTCGAAACAATCGCATGGCTTCTCAATATCCTCATGTTAGTTGCAGGGCCTTGCTTTCGTGTCCCTGGAATTTTGAACATTAAAATTAAAATTGTACGACAAAAAATTCTCTCAAAGTAGCCTAAGGGTCGTCACGGGAGTCTCGAACCCGTCTAGAACCCTTTTCGAAAATGAGACTCTGAAATTCCAAGATCGAGAAAGGCGCGAATTTATGTGAGCGCGACAAAATTGCGACAAAGCTACGACACTTTGTGACTAAATTGGGTTTAATAAACAAATTTGCAAGACATTTATGTGAATCCAGGCGAAAGTTTAGGGTGATTCCAACTGAAATTGTCGCTATTCGCGGACCTTTTTCTTCCTCGAAATTGTGTGTCTCTAACAAGTCGCGACCTTTCGCAGTCCAGTAAGAAACCAACTTTCATCCACTCCTCGTACGATGGCACTGTATTGCGTGTCAAATACCACGCGTGTCGTCGACGCTGTCATAAGTGATTACTTTTGAGCTCCAGATGGAATATTGACGTATTCCGATTTCTCTGGATCAACGATATCAGCGTAAACCTCTTCTTTGATGTTGTTGATCCCCGTTTTTTTGAGGCCCTGGTAGGCAGGTGGCCTGACTACACTCGGTTGAGGCAGCTCGTAATGAGGGCTCTGTGGGTCGCTTGCTGGTGGGGCAGCACGTAAATGAGACAGGTCCTCCTTCTTCTGCTTCCGCTTGCTGGTGGTCGATTTAAAGAAAGACAGAAATAGTGGATAATCACTGTCGTCATCATCACCATCATCATCTCTACTTCCCCATCATCATCATCATCATCATCATCTTTTTTTATCATTATCACCATCATCATCATCATCATCACCATCTTCATCTCTATCTTCCCAAACACCATCGTCTCCATCTTCCCCATCATCATCATCTCCATAATTATCATTATTACCATCTTTATAGTCGGCAAATCATCAAATATTATTAGTCTAAAAATGATTATATATGCAGATATTCAGGTTTATGATAAACATGATACGAGTATCATGATTTTTGTTATAAAAGTGTCTCGTTGCAATGCAAACTGTACAAGAGGAATATATTGCAGGCAGCTCTGTTGTATAAACCAGTTAAAATTAGGAATTAGACAATTAAAAAACAATGTAGATATTGCAAATCCACGTCCTGCCTTTAAAAAGTTTTCGAACAGGGCATTACTATTATGCGAGAAATTAAAATGTTGTTTTATTCTTACCATAAAATCACTATGGCAATAGCAAGTATGATGATCCCCAAGAATGATATCACGAATAAAACCATCCAAACAGCACTAGTCTTCCTCAGGCGTTGACTCTCTACAACATTGAATAGATAAGCGTTAATCGCCAAGTTTGATCAATTTATTGCTAATTGCAGAATAGACCTATTGCTACAACAAAGAATGTTATAAATGTTTATAGAGACATTCGATATTTGGATATCACTGCCCCTACGTTACTTTGGTTCCCATGGTTACAGATCTTAAGCTGCGCATAATTGGTATGTAGGATAGTGCTTGGACCAGATTAAGGTGTTCTCTACAATGATCAAGGACAAATCAATGATTGTCATGGGGGCGAGGATTTGTAGGAGCATTACATCGTAGTCAATAATGAGTGAAGGATCCGGCATTTTTACTCGAAAAAATTATTAAAAAGTCCCCACCAGCCCGCCTCCCATCCCCACTCCGGCTCCTTGCTCAACGCAAGGGAGCGGGGGGGGGGGGGGGGGGGGGTCAGTTTGAGGGGCAATAGAGTAAGGGTAAAAGCCGGGAGAAGATTGATGGCTTATGTCAATTGGACGCCGGACCTATCGCCAAGTACACCAACCGACATAGGACATTGCCTATTGAGGCTAGGACTTATGCGTTTCTAGCTGATGGTAGAATGTTTCTGTTTATATCCGTATATATACGAAATCATCATCAATATTGTTCTAATTGCGACTCACCGAGGGTAGGAGTCGTAACAGTCACAAGTGGACTTCTTGGTCCTTCTCCGCCGGGACCTTCTCTGACGGCAGACACACTGATATTGTATTCTGTTCCTGGTTCCAACTCGGTCAATACAAACTCCATTATTCGTTGAAGATCGCCCTCTCCCACACCCGAGTCGATTCTACCAGCAACTAGCCATTTCTCTTCCATGGTTTGCTGATAGATAAGGTAACCAACAACTGGTCCGTCGCCGGGGTCCAGAAAAGGTATCCAAGAGCTCCAGAAGACAGTGACTGATGACGAGCTGATCTCTCCGACTGTTGGGCCAGATGGTAGCTCTGGTAAAGCTGGAAATGATAAAGCTATCCAGTTAATAGCTAATTCTATGTGTAAAGTACCTATTTGTTATGTGAAAAACAAACACCAGCAAAGAAACCAACAAATAGATATTTCAGATAATATCTATGCATGCATATACATTATGTATGTTGTTATTTACTAATACAACATACTAAGAATCTTGCTCTACGATTGGTCAAAAGTCAAACACGTGATGAAACATAGTTTCGCCCATCATTTAAAGGAGAAGAAAGGCTCGTTTAAGTGTTTAACACTGTGTACTATCTTCAACTCATGCAGGCGACCACGTCCACCGCGGTGATGTGGCGCGAATTACAAATTGAATTGTAAACGTTGCGTGTATACACGTACGTAAGTACTGCTAGCTGTTAATTGATGACTTGTTGCTCTAAAATGTAGGAAGAAGTCAATTGGAATAGCATTGTTGGTAAGTAGATCAAACTTAGGGGGCTTCATGCCATCGTACAGAAAATAGAATCTAACAGTTAGAATCTAGACTTAGTAGTAGTACTACTTGTGGAAGTACCAGTAG